TGAGAGCCAGTCATTTTCATCAACATAGACAAAACTGGAGATCATTATGTTAAGTAAAATAAGCCAGGCACAGAAAGACAAACTTTGCATGCTCTCAGTTATTTGTAGGTGCTAAAAATTAAAGCAATCTAACTCTTGGAGATAGAGTAAAAGGATGGTTACCTGAGTCTGGGAAGAGTAGTTGGGAAATTGGGAGGGGAAGTGGGAATGAATAATGGATACAAAGAAATAGTTAGAAACAATGGGTGACTATAGTCAAAATAATTTAATAATTTAATTGTACATTTTAAATATCTAAAAGAGTATAATTGGATTGTTTGTAACACAAAGGATAAATGCTTGAGGTGATGATTACTCCATTTACCTTGATGTGATTATTATACACTGTTTGCCTGTATCAACATATCCCATATAGTCCACAAGTATGTAGACCTACTATGTATCCACAAAAATTAAATGTTTAAAATTAAAAAAATAAATAAAATGCATACAGTTGTACAAAGAAATAAAACTGTATATCTTTGTATACATCATGATAATTTATATAGAAAATCATAAGAAAACTTCAAAAATCTACTAGATGACTTTGGCAAAGTCATAGGGCTCAATTTAATATAAGAACTGCATTGTGCTTCTATATACTGGTAATAAAAACTGGAAAATAAAATCTGATCAACTACACTATTTAGCATGGTATCTAAAAATATGAACTATTTAAGAATAAAATATTTGCAAGATCTGTACTTTAAAAACTTCAAAACATGTTGAAAGAAATTAAAGATAACATAAACAAGTGTATATATATATATACCGTGTTCATGGAACAAGAAACTCAATATGTTAAGACGTCAATTCTACTCAGATTGGTCTATAGCTTGAATGATATGCTAATCAAAATCCTAACAGTCTTCTAATGTAGAAATTGGCAAATTGACTCTAAAATTTAAACAGAAATGCAAAGAACATAGAACATAGAATAGTCAAAGTAATTTCGAGGTAAAAAGAGAATAAAAATTCAAGATCTAACCATCTGATTTCAAGACTTCCTGTATGGTAACAGTGATATGGTTTGGACCTGTGTCCTTGCCAAATCTAAGAATTGTAATCCCCAGTGTTTGAGGTGGGGCCTACTGGGAGGTGATTGGATCTTGGGGAGAAGTTCTCATGAATGGTTTAAAAGCATCGCCACTTGGTACGGTATAGTGAGTGAGTTCTCACAAGATCTGTTGTTTAAAAGTGTGTGGCACCTCCCCTCCTCCCTTCTTGCTCCTGCTCTGGCCATGTAAGATGAGCCTGCTTCCCCTCGGCCTTCCATCATGATTTTCAGTTTCTTGAGGCCTCTCCAGTAGCAGAAGCCGCTATGCTTCCTGTACAGCCTGAAGAGTCATGAGCCAATTAAACCCCTTTTCTTTATAAATTGCCAGTCTCAAGTATTTCTTTATAGCAGCCAACTGACTAATTAGAACTGACTAATGCAAACAGTCATCAAGATAATACAGTATTTGCATACAGATAGACCTGTAGACCACATATGTGGTCAACTCATTGTTTATAAAGGCAGGAAGGTAATTCAGTTAGGATGGTCTTTCCAATAAACAGTGCCCAAATCACTGAATAGACACGGATTAAATAAAAAGAACCTCAATGAGTTCCTCATGTCACATGCAAAAATTTTCTCAGAATGGAGTATAGGTCTAAGCGTAAAAGCTGAAACCCTAAAAGAAAATATAGGCAATAATCTTCACAATTATGGAGTAGGCAAACTTTTCAGGCCACACAAAGGACAAACTACAAAAAATGGAGAAACTGAACTTCATCAAATTTTAAAATTCAGTTATATGAAAGACACCAAAGAATATATTGTCCAAGCACCATGTCTCATGCCTGTATCTCTAACACTTCAGGAGGCTGAGGCGGGAGGATCCCTTGAGCTCCAGAGTTTGAGGCTGCAATGAGCCATGATTGTACCACTGTACTCTAGCCTGGGTGAGAGAGCAAGACCCTGACTCAAAAAAAAAAAAAAAAAAAAAGAAAAAAAAAAAAGAAATAATATATAATATATAAAGAACTCTCACAGCTCAATAATAAGAAAAATTGAAACTACTTTTTCAGAAATTATAATAGTGAGAAAATTATGACACTGAAAGAAATCTAACCTAATTCCATCTAGCTTCTAAACTCCAAGCTGCCCTTGTTCATTCCTGATCATAGGCTGAACTAACTTTGGAAGGAACTTAGTTTATAGTTTCACTTTGAAACAAAGATAACAGCCTTTCTCAAAACCAACTCCTATCTTGCCTGGGGACCAGACTACCTTTATAGGAGTAATATATTAGCCACAAGATTAGAAATTATGTTCTGGAGCCATACAGCCAGAAACCACAAGATGCTGAATCTCCCCAATTGCTCTTAGAGATAACATCAGTATTGTAAAACCTAAGACTGGTGCTCAAGATACTTTCTAGACCCTACATTCTGATCCACCAGCTAGCACCCAGACCAGCAATCTGGCTCTACCAGTTCTGCGATCCCATCCAGGAACGGAAGACAAAAAAGAAAAACCTACTTCAGTCCCCTATGATTTAATCTCTGACCTAACCAATCAGCACTCTCTACTCCCTGGCCTCCTGTCTGCCAAATTATCCTTTAAAAACCCCAGTCTAAAAATTTTCAGGGAGACTGATTTGAGCAATAAAACTCCAGTCTCCCATTCAGGTGGCTCTGAGTGAGTTAAGCCCTCTCTATTGCAATTCCTTTACCTGGGCACACAAAGGACAAACTCCTTGATAAATCACCTTTATTTGGGCAGCAGGCAAGGAGAACCCATTGGGCATTACAAAACGGCCCTGTTTTATAAAATGGGCATAAGATTTTAGCAAACATTTCACAAAAGAACTTCACGAATGGCCAATAAACACATGAAAAAACACTTAACATTACTAGTCATTAGGAAAATGTAATTAAAACAATGAGATACTACTTTATACCCATTTCAGATACACTCCAAATGCCCATGGATGCACATATTGGAGTACGTTTATATAATAGAATACTACTCAGCCATGAAAAGCATGGACTAATGATGAACATACAGCAACACAGATTGAATCTCAAAAAACGTTCAGCTGACTTTTTAAAAAACCATCATATAACTTCATTTGTATGGAATTCTAGAAAAGGCAATACTAATCTACAATGACAGAAAGGAGACCAGTGGCTGTCTGTGACCAGGGCTGGGGAGAGTGGTTACTCCAAAGGAAACCAGAATTCTTTGGGGGTGATGTCAATTCTCCATGTCTTAATGTGGTTATGGTTACATAGGAGGATACATTTGTCCAATTTCTTAAAATGTAAAATAAAGTTAGTTTTTTAAAAGGGAGACTGTTTCTCCTGTCTGTTTCATTTTGTTTTCCCCTTCACTTTTCAGAATTAAGCTGCACTTAGCAGACTTTCCTGGTTACTTTGAATCAGGAACTCCTCAAAAAGTCTGTTGTTGAAGGGAGAACCACAATTAGGCAATTAGAACAGCTTGATTTGACAACTAAATGTAGAAATTCCTAATGAAAAAAAAAAAAAAAACAAACACTTGAAATGTTGCCACATATGGAATGGGCTGGAGAAGATATCACTGAGGCATCATTGCTGTAGGGCATCCTTTCTAGGGAAGGGAAAGGAGGCAAAGGACCATGAGCTCATCATGATCAAGGATTCTGAAACTTCAGTTCATTTTTATTAATAAATTGCCTTCATGTGGCCGATGAATTGCTGGTCTGATTGGAAACTCTTTCCTGCACCGAAGAAACTGCACCAATTAACAATATTCATCTGCCAATTCAGCTCTGCAGGTTCAGGCTCATTTAACTTGACAAAAATAGCTTCTTTTTTCTTGAGTAGGGGAAGTTTTTCTCTGCCTCCAGCCCTAGTGATGGGCAGAGATGGTGGTGGAATCTTATTACAGCCTCCCTGTCCCTGATGCTCTTTATCCAGCCGCAGCGCCACAGGCTGCCCGTTTTTTTTTTTTTTTTTTTGGATACCCATTTCACGACCTTCTTTGGTTTCTTTACCACAAAAGTCACTCTATGTCTTTTAGCCCACAGCCCTACTGCAGTGTTCTCTGTCTTTTTCCCTTTACTCTTAATATCTTCTTTATTCGTTCCTTCCCTTTTCCCCTTCTTCCCTTTTCCCCTTCTTCCCTTACCCCCTTTCATTCTTCCGTCTTTTTTTCTTTAATTTTTCACCAGCCCCTAGCATATTCTAAACTATTTACCCCTTTCATGATGGAATCATGAACCGACACCTGCCATAGTAATCAGGTGATTTATTTTTCTCTGCAGTTTTCTTACACTGAAGTGGTACCACCCTGCCCCCATCACCATCAACTCAACTTCATTTTAAATGTTCTACTCTTGTCCTTAGAGAGACTGGCCAGTTCTTCCCACCATTTCAGACCATCATAAATTTGTAAATATAGATTCATTTGCTGAGCCTAAGTTTTCTGCATAAAAGTAAATCCCTTTTGTGATACCTACAAAAGCCACAGAATCATCAACCACAGTTCAAAAGAGCAAATGATATTCACTGCATCACAATGAACTTGATTCTAAAAAGCAAATTATTTGCTATATAATAGAAACAGGCAGGTTAAAAACAATAATTGAGTGTGAAAGAGGTCAGAGAAAGTTCTGAGAGTGATATAAAGTTTCATTACCTTGACTGAAGATGGTTTCATGGAAGTATATTATGTCAAAACTCATCAATAATACACTTTAAATATGGATGGTTTATTTACATTAATTATGCCTCAATAAAGCTGTAAAGCAAAGGAAATAAATAGGAAAAAACAAAGACAAACAAAAAACCGATGACTTAGGGGTAATTAGCCAAGCTATTCTTAAATGTAGGCTAGTGTATATGTAATTTTAGTCTTGCTATTTACCAGCTGTATCCTTATTCTATGAAAATCTCATTTTACCTTAAAAAATTAGGATGCGAGGACATACCTCTGAATGTTCAGTGATCCTGGGATGCTCTCATGCAAGCTCGTTTCACTGTGAGCTGATGAATCAGCATAAAAGCTGAATGGTAGCTCATGATCACACTCTGTTCTGCCAATAAGACAGTTTATTTTAACTCGCTGTTCCCATATTTTGAAAGAGACTGACTTCTGCAGAAGTATACAAATCAGAGATATTATCAACCCTGAACTCCCAGTAACTTTATTTTTATTCTACATGGTCACACAGGCTACTGGAGTTAATGTCCTATAGGCATGTGGGGATGCCGGGCACCTGGCAGGTATACACGTTGATCAATTCATTTGACCACATTTTCTTGCAAGGAAAATTTTCCTTAATGTGTCTTCAAATAGAAAAGTCTATGAGTAATCAAATGTGAGTGACAGAAGGGTAACCTTATTCCACTAATGTCCCCTTTAAAAATTTTCCCCCTGAGCAACCATAAAGAATAAAAATAGTGATAATTATCAGTTCTCCATTTTTGCTGTGGAAGCTGGGGAGCTATGAAACAAATATACAGCTCAGTTTCTCAGGACATTAAAAAATGCATTATGCATGTTATTCTCACCCTAGTGACAACTTATTTTTTTTAACTATTGTTTTTTCTCTGACCTGATCCTCCCCCTTCCTTCCTTCCTTCCTTCTTTCCTTCCTTCCTTCCTTCCTTCCTTCCTTCCTTCCTTCCTTCCTTCCTTCCCTCTCTCTCTCTCTTCCTTTTCTTTCTTTTTTTCTTTCTTCCTTTCTTTCATCTTTTATATCACAGAAAGTTTCCTCCAATCATTTTTCTAACAAGGTAGAGTGCAAACAAAGGAATAACAAACTTCCTTTAGATATGAGAAATGTGGATCTTTTTAAGTGTTATTTTCAAGAGTCTTAAGGCAACATTAGGATAATAACATAACATGAAAACTGTGGAGATAAATTGTGATCTCACGTGAGCCCCAGGATGGCCTTTATTAAATCATGCTTACTTCTTAGAGGGCTGGGAAGACATAAGCCAGTGTTTCAGAGAGAGTCTGAGGGGTGAAAGCTTTTCTCTCCCCAACAATGGCATATTTGTAGTAGAATATTCTCATAAGAGTCTTGGTGAACAAAGATATACAGGGATAGAAGGTGGAATGGAAGGAAGTCCATTTCAGAAGGAAATAATCCCAACATAACTTTCAGGATATAACAATAGGTTATTAACTGGTGGATTTGGCAGGGAAAATTCTGCTACATCATTTTTTAAATCTTTCTTCTTCTTCCTTTCTTTTAAATTTTTATTTTTATTTTTAGGGACAGTCTAGCTCTGTTGTCCAGGCTGCAGTGTAGTAGCACAATCATAGCTCATTGCAGCCTCCGACTCCTGGGCTCTAGAGATCCTCCTGCTTCAGCCTCCTGAGAGCTGGGTCTGCAGGTGTGCACCACCATGCCCAGCTAATTTTTTATTTTTTGTAGAGACGGGGATCAGCCTCTATTGCCCATGCTGATCTTAAACACCTGGCTTCAAGTAATCCTCCCACCTCAGCCTCCCAAAGTGCTGGGATTATGGACATGAGCCACTGTGCCCAGCATGAAATCATTTATGATGTGTTGACCATTTTTCAACTGGATATGAAGGCAGTATAGACACACAACTGTGAATTTATCAAGACTTGTGCTCTGTTTATTTAGTTTCTTTATATGGGAATTTTCAAACAAATGTAAAGTGGAGGCATGCACACTGCAGTAGGTAATGGCTGTATCAGTCAACACTTAGCCTTGGTTGTCATCACCTATCTTCATGGACCAAAAACACAGATAGAGTCTAGAAGAATGCACAAAGCAGCTTTTCACCAAGGGCTAAGTTTCCATTCTACTTGCTAACCCACACAGAATGCATAGAAAGTGGAGATTAGAGAGTGACTTCTACACTCCATTCAGCAGATTCCAAGTTTCTCAATGTCCATGAAGAGTCTTCGCTCTAGAGCCTCAAGGTTACTAAACTGCCACTTTTCAAGGTTCCTATTCTTGCTTTCTCCTCCATGCCTCAGTCTTTAACTCCTTTTGTCTTCCCAGTTTTTTCCAGATTCTGCCCATTTGGTCTCTTGAAGGGGTTGGCAGTCACTCGGCTCCATGGGTTTTATTGCTAGGTGGAGCCATAGTGAAGTTTCTATAACATAATCAGACTTATTATTTCAAGGCCAAGACTGATCTACTTTTATCAGTTAGAACTCCTTAGATTGCAAGTGACAGAAAGCCCAAGCCAAGGGACTTGGGTTAAGTTTGTCCTCAAGCACTCGCTTGTTCTTTTGGCTTCTAGTATGTCCTTGCCCTCATCTACTCAGGCTTTCCTACCAATTGCTGGCTGGCTATTCTATAGTGACTTAAGGTTCAACATCAGACACAGATACAACAGCCTTGCACAGACTTCTCCACCAGCAACATAGTTTCATAAAAATCTAATCCCTATAACAAACCTTTTAATCTATATTACTTCTCGTGGTTCTACTTCGCTGACTAATAATATGCCTTTACATAAGACATTCCAAGGTCTTGGAACAGTCTATGCGCATTGTATTAATCTGTTCTTGCACTGCTATAAATAAATACCTGAGAGTGAGTAATTTATAAAGAAAAGATGTTTAATTGGCTCACAGCGCTGCAGATTATACAGGAAGTATGGCAGCATCTGCTTCTTGGGAGGCCTCAGGAAACTTACAATCATGGCAGAAGGCGAAGGGGAAGCAGGCATGTCTTACATGGCCAGAGCAGGAGCAAGAAGAGGTGGAGGGGCAGGCTAGGCAGGTGCCACAGACTTTTAAACAACCAGATCTGGTGAGAACTCTATCATGAGAACAGCACCCAAGGGATGGTGCTAAACCATTCATGAAGGATCCACCCCCATGATCCAATCACCTTCCAGCAGGCCCCACCTCCAGCACTGGGGATTGTAATCCCCAATGTTGGAGATTTGGTGGGGACACAGATATAAACCATATCACACATATATTCTGTCTGCCACTCTCTTGATGAAAAATTGCAATCTAGTTTAGACAGTTGGTCTTAGTAATAGCGAGCATTCTCTTTTTATGTTTTATTGAAGTCATTAGTACAAATAATTATAAAGCTTGAGTCACTATTTAATATCATGTCATAAGCATTATTCATGCCCTTGCACAGTCTTTATAACCATAATTTTTAAAAGGCTTGACAATATTTGAGTGGATGCTCTATAATTTCATTATTCACTTTCCTATTGTTGGCACTGTAGGTATTTTCCAATATTTTACTGTTATGAATAATGATCTGAGGTACTCCTTCATGCATATAATTTTTCCATATTTTTGGAATATTTGGTTAGTCTATAATTTCATAAATTGAGAGTAAAGATATGTAAAAGGTATGAACCTTCGTATTGCTTTTGATTCATATTGTTTAATTGCTTTCAGAAGGACTAGGACAATTACAATCCCGTTAGTAATTGGTAATATCCTTGCTAACTTTGATTGTCCAGCTTGGACTGAGTTGTACATTCACCTGACTGTGATGAAGCAACTGGTCCTGCAGCTCGAGCAGTGGGGTTTCTGAGTCTATGGAGTTTTTTCTTGTTGATTCTCAGTTCATGGTGGAGTCATTCAAGAGTATTTCTGGCATCTTGGCAGTCCTAAGTGCCATGCTCTCTCTAGAAATTCTACAAGTCAACATCGTGATCAAAATGTAGCTGCAGAGTAAAAAAGCTAAAAAGGAAACTGAGAGTTTCTAGATCCAGACATGGATTCCTTATTCAATTATTCTACAAATGACTTAAGAAGCAAAACATTCAAAAAAGTAACTAAAGCTGTATGTGGACTGATGACTGCAGCATAGTTCTCTTCTTACCTCATGATCAGTCAGATGAAGAAAGTATGAACATTGTATTATAGCATATTGATTTTGCCATTCAATGTGGAGAAGATTCAAAATTTAAATAACTAAAGGAACATGAAAATAAGTCTTGTATGTTTGATGAATATTTTCAAGGACACCAGGATGAATGAAGAGTTTACTAGGGAGTAACTGTCCATACGTGAAGAGCCTGTGGCCAAACCGGTAGAATATTCTTCTCTTCCAAGGATGCAGTAGTAGAAAGCTACATATTTTAATGAAATGAAAAGTACATTTTTTTATCAGCAGCATGCTTGAATCAAGTTTTGAATTATTCTGAAACTGTTGCTGCTTAATGTGGAAACTTGTAGTGTTATTTTGAGAGCATCAGTTTAAATTTAAAAGTCAAAATTGAAATGAATGCACATAGATTTGTATATAAATTAGCTGTGCAACAGTTAATAAGGCTAGTACAACCTTATTTTTACTGTTTGTATTGTTTTTGAGGTGCAGGAATTGTTGTAACAAAATATACATGTCTTTCCAGAGGGAAATGTCTGGAAGGATATAGATAAGACTACTGCCCATCTGTACCTTACCATTTCCCTACATTGAAAATGTATTATTTATATAATTAAAAAATTTAAAAGGGAATATCATTTTAAAGTCTTTCCTGATTTAACAGAAAAAAGTACCTATTCAATTTGAAAGGCATTCTATATTGCCTGTTTTATGCTAGTATCTATATTCTGCTTTACAATATCTAGAAAGTATCAATATCTTTACTGATCCAGAGTATACCTGAAATATGTGAAAGACACTTTCCCTAGACATTAATTTCTGAGTTGTGAATGCAATCTGCCAAAAATCTGAGGATTTGACCACATATTTTCTAATTAAACTAGGATACTTATTTGGATCATTTTTGTAATTGGAAAGGTTAAGAGAATCATCAGTGGAGACAACGTTGAGGCTATAAAAACACTGCAATTAATATCTTATCTTTTAAAATTTTAGGCAATAGCACTTTTGCTCTTCAGAATAGCATCTTAAGAGAAAGCATATTGAATTCAATCTGTTGTGTGAAATATTTTCAGTTAGAGAAGGTACAGTATGTATATATAAATGAATGTACAGACTGCTGATGATTTATTTTGGATCTATAGCAGCCTTGGAAATAGAACTGAGTTTTATATAGATCTTTCAGAGTCAGGGTAGCCCTAAGCTCTTTATAGAGCAGTAATTTTGGCTGTGTCTAAATAAGACC